GAACCCTCTGGTTAAGATTTGGTATTTCTTGGAGACCTTTAAGTTGCAAATGAATGTTCCTTTAGAGAAGGTGAGAACAAGATGACTTTGCCGCAATGACAAAAAGCATGTGAAATCACACTGTGTGACCCCCGTGTGTGTGTGTGTGTGTGTGTCTCCAAAAAAGGGTACCCAGGGCCACTGGAACCCGACAAGCAAAGGACCCATCACCATAACAAGGTGTTGCTAACTTCCATTTAAATTGGGCTTTTGTTGGAAACAACATCAATGCTGGTTCCAAAATCATTACTAAAACACTAAGTAAACAGAGTATATGTTCATGATCACTGTCACTACAATATTACCACAACTCTTCCAAGCAGCAGGAAGAATTCTGATTCAGAGACAAGTTTATCCAGTGAGTACCACCTTCTTGTAGGAAAACATGTTCATCTTGCAAGAGATAAATTCCTGGAGCTTTAAAGGCCAGCTGCATCATTCTGAGGGAGAAAAGGCAGGGACAGAGCCCAGTATTGATAGTACCAATCTAGCAATCTGTTTGCTGGATTTACCAGGTTTTAGTACTAGAAATAATACTTTCTATATTCCACTCTACACACACACATAGACACACACTTGCTGACTTTGGTAGACTAAAAAGGTCTTTACTTGTCAATGACCATAGGATCCACCAGTGTGAATGCACAGGCAGATTTCACTGAAAAAAGGATTTTTTTTTTTTTAAACCTCTAACAAGCATCCAAGGAAATCTGCAGAGCTGACTCAATGGATGTCAGTGCTAGAGGTTATTTTTGAAACTGGCACTAATGGCAGAAGAAAAAAAAAAAAGAAGATGCAAAACATGAGAGAGAGAAGAAAATATCTTGCTGTATTAGAGCCAAGGATACTGAGGCCTGAAGAGATGGCGTAAGTTTGTTCTTTGGTGTCACTTGCATTTTAAGCTGCAATATAGAGGCTATGTGAGGAATTTGTTACTCAATATAAAGCCAAGGAGATTCCTCAGTCCCCAGCCAGTAGTGTCTGGCAGTGCCAGACATGAACAGAAAAAGATACTCCTTTGGGTATTTAGTGAGAGGGCCCAAGCCAGTCTTGGTATCTTCAACTGTAAGAATCTAGCTCCAACTATGAAGCATAAAGCTGTAAGTGTTCAGAAACCATATGATCCTGGAGCTTCAATTAAACACCTCACTTCCAGCAGCAAAGTAAAAGAACAGCAAGCTGCATACTTGACTATCCAAGTGAGTTTTGCTCTGAAAGAAGGCAACAGGGAGGAATGTCAGACTCTAGTATAATCACCAGTTAGGAAAAGGATCTCAAAGCTCTTATGAAGCTCTAGGCTCCTGTGTCATATCTAAGGTGTTCTCTGATACTATTAGGATGATAAATTATCATTACTTAGATTCTGCCTAAACCCAAATGCGAGTTCTGCTTTCTCTTCGGCACAGGAACGGGAAGGAGTTTCAAGGGAATATGGGATGCACGCTTTGCTTCAGTACAGGCAATGACATCAACCCTTACATGATACTGCCTGTGTACTCTGTAGTGAGCACTGCACTTCATCATTACATTTGCAATGCTTCTGTAGCCAAGGAAATATTTTCCTAAAGGCTAAGAGACCAGCAGAAAGTTTCAACTTTAGGAAATCTGTCCAGCAGCTGAAATAGAGCTGTTTATCATGCTGCTACTTCTCCTCTTCATCCTCTTTTGGGATCACTGGTGCTGAGCTGCAAGTAAAGCCAGGTTCTTTTCCGTGCCAACAGGAATAAAGTCAGGTTGCTGGCAACATGATAGGGAGGTGGCTGTACAGAGTAAAGCATGCCAAGCAGACTTTTATAACACTTATCTTCAGCATGGCTCATAAGGCAACCAGCAGTTACTATGATATCCTTGCATACAATGACCCCCACGCCCCCAGCTTAATGCGGGCAGAACACGTCTCCTGCAAATTATGAAGTGCTAAAGCTGGAGGCAATGCCGGCCAGAGGCAGCACCACATAACTACGCTAGCCCTGTTCCTCTAACTACCTAAATTGTAATCTTCATTATTCTGGAAAAAATTGCTCCCTGGTAGCAGGCATCAGTTTTGTTCCATTGTGTACCAGTAAAAAACAGATGCCAGCTAAGCAGCTAGCTAAACTATTTTTATACATTTAGGTCAATTGTCCCATGAATTGACATAGCTAGAGAACAGGAGAATAGGATAAAAAAAAAGGTTTTTTTGCTTTTCCAAATTCAACTCTCAGCGTCTTTCTGTTTTAATTACAGTTATTGTATTGCTTGCTTATATTGTGATTCAAGAATATGAAATAGGGAGAAAAGGTTATGTAGAACATGCCAGATTCCAGGATGAAAAACTCCACCATGTTTTTTGTGTGGTTTTCTAAGTTAAATAATTATCACACTGTTACATCTTCCTGGTCACAGGTTGTACGTTTAGTGTAGTACCAGATATAGCAGACTGATCTAACCTGGCTATCCACTGTGGGACTGAGTATTTAAAGAGAGCACAAGAGCTGGTTCCAACACAAACAGCGGGAAAAGAAAGACTGGGCTGGTGCAATCGCTGACAAGTACTGGAACAACTTAGCTCATGCTCGGATTTCAGGAATGCAATTAATTAATCACTACTAAGTACCCTAAAATCAAGTGAGCCATACCCCAGCTAACAGTCCACAATCTAACATTCACAGCACATAAGTATCAGGCAATGAAGATGCTCATTACAGTGCCAGAAATAATATTTCCAGCAAAATATTATATATAAAGATGAAGTAATTATATGGCATGGCAACCAAAAGCTGTACAGTTTACAGCTGAGCTGAAAATCTGTAAAAATCTATTTCCAAAAAATACTTTCCAAAGCTGGAGACATATATGAACAATAAAGGATTAAGCATATTTCTTCACTTCGTATCACTGAGGGATATACTTTGCCTTTGATATGTATGTCTAATATACACACCATAAGATAGCAGACAAAAATGTACTAATGGAAAACGATGTCCTTTTGCTCTTATTCAGGAGAAAGCAGTTTGTAAAACACTATTTGTAATATATAAACCAATCACAGAAGCCCTTTAAGATCACAATTTTACAAGCTGCCTGTTCTCTTTGCTTTATACAATGGAGAAATCAAAATCAGAAATTAGACTCACATTTAAGAGTGTATTTGGAAAAGTACCTTACACAAAAAAAGGAGTCCAAAGTCAAAGGCAAAGCCCACAGTGACTTCAGTGGAGGGCAAGAACTGGCCACTATGGCACAAAATGAAACAACACATCAGCATTCTCCTAGCGTGCATCAGTTTGCTCGTATTTACGCCATGCTACAGACTTAAAGTGTCATTGAAAATCCATTTAAATTAACAACTCTATAGTTATCACTTTTGCAGACAGTAATGAACCTTAAGTGAACCTGTGTGGGCGTATTCAAAACTGCTTCATTTTTGGAGTACCTTTGTAACTCTGAACTAGATATTATAATGGCTATTGACTTGCTCAAACTTAGATTATTAGGCTAGATTTTCAGCTGGTTGAACTGGCATAGTTCCAATGATGTCCATTTACACCAACTGGCTCATTATTAATTCAAGGTCTTATTTGCTCCTTAATGAATACTTCCACTAGTCACCTTCCCAACGGCAGCTTTAAACGCTCAAACGTTACCTCCATGGTCAGAATCATCATACTCGAGAACTTAGTTATCAAAAAATAATGCTTTTTCTCTCCTTTTATGAGGCATACTTAAAGTAAACTTTTTAAATCATTTACAAAACAAACTAAAATACCTCCTGTGCCATAATTAACTAACTAGAATTATGCTTTCATACAGCATCATTTGCATATAAATATAAAAATTTTACAACCCTAAGGGGACATTAAGGACGAAACAAAACAAGAATGGAATTAAACAGCTAAAGGGACAACACAGCCCTCCATAACAAGCCTCTTTTATAGCCTTGCCTTTTTTATTACTTATTGTTATTTCTGTGTGTACATATTCATACATATTTTCCTTCTCTGTTATTTTAAGATATTACATATATTTTAACATCTTCATTTGTTTTGTCTTTTCAATTTTACAATGTTATCTCGGCACTTCTAAAAGTCAGGATACAAACGTGTCACTAAGTTTGTGTATCTTCATTTAATACATCACAGTGGTCAGAAAGACAATTAACTGAAAATACGACAGTCTGTTCCCTCAACCAAGTAACGCAATTTTTCAAAAGGATTTAAAAAAAATACAAATTTTACAATTTTTCAACCGTATCTCACTTATTACTTCACTGGAACAGTTAGCTGTCAAATATACAAAGGAAAGCAACCATTGTTTTTGATTACTGCTGTTACTAGTATTAAGTAATTTAGTTTAAATACTTAAAAAAATATTTAGGAACTCGATGAAGCTGAATTATCTCAGTGAGAGCCTGAGGAACCTTAATAGTAGGCTTAGTAATTCTGCTGTGACACATGGGAGGTAAAAACTTTATTCTACACATTCTGCTGTTTCACGGGAAAATACCCTTCAAAGGGGCTATCACAAAACTTATGTGCTCAGTGAAACCAATTGGTATTCCACAAGACTGGCAATCTGACTCTGAAATTTCTAGTACGTAGGTGTACCCAAGTAACACCTGAGTAACTGAAAATGGAAATACTCTATTAAAAATATTTTCTAGCATCTTTAGGTTTTGGATTCCAAGTACGTCTCAACATAAACTTTCAAATAACTATCTTGATCCAAATTTTTTTAATTTGGTTGTGCCCAAAAGCCACAATAATGAAATAGGCATGGATATTATAAGAGCTATACAAAGAGTAGGAAATGGTTTTCACCATGGAAAGCTTATAATAACCATGAGGAACAAAGTTTTGTAATAAGGTAAGTACTGATTTTCCTTAACAGCTAAGCAGGCCACTTAAGATGCTTTGATACAACCATGAAGTTGCCCATCAAATGTACCTTGGCGTATCTTGCTAAAGAAAGTTACTACATACCTGGAATAAATTCCACTGACCATGTTGTGCTGGAAAGAGAGTTCTGCCGTGCTGGGTCCAGCAGCTTTGGAAATAAGCAATACGACCAAACCTCGCATCTGTAAATTATTTCGGCTATCGTACACAAAACCCCTGCAAAAAGGAAAGGAAAAAAAACGCATGCTTTCACAATCCATTTTCACTGGTCATACCAAAGTGGAAAGAAAGACTCAGACTTCAGGCTGCCATCATTTCACCAAGTCTTTAATATTCACATTTGCATGGAAATAAGCTACAATTATTAATCATGATCTTTTGTCATCCTTTACCTGACACTTACAATCAAATACTAGTATCGCAGAGAAAATCAAGTATTCAGGATTAAATCTTGTTTATTTCCAAGGAGCAGCATATGCCCTGCATTTCATGTCATGTCATGAAAGGAGTATTTCAGAATAATTCAGTGTGATCTACTGTAACAGAACATAAGAAGCTTTCAGTTTGTTGTTTGAAGTACAAGAAAGGCAAAAGAAGCCTTGTACTTCGAGAGAAGGGAAAGGAGGAAAGGTACAACCAAAATCTATAACCTGCTGAAAGAAAACCGTTTAGATCAGAGTGGCTATGAACAGGTCGCACAATACATACAACATGTCCAAGTACATTAAGAATAGACTTTGCAGAACCTGATGAAAGATGTAAAATAAAAGTTAGAGATAAATGAAGTAGAGACAGGCTGTTTTAAACAAAAGAACCGTTTCATATGTTGTACCTTTAAATTTAGGGTCAGAAGGAAACTGCCCCCAAAAACGTATCTGTTGAAAGCAATTCTAAATGACCACTTAGATATTCATCTCAGAAATTAACTTGTTTTAAAGTAAGCTTAGCTTTCCTTTTTGACTGCAATGTCTCCAGTTGTATTCTTCCTGTCCTTGTCAAGCTGGTTTCTACTTCCTATATTCATCAATAAGGGTACATAGCTAGAAGAAAGGATAATACATTCCAGATGCTATTAAATCTGTAAACGAGTTGCCAAAAAATAAGAGCTCATATCTCCAATATCATCTACATATTTGTTAAATAAATCATCTGAAGGACTACATCACAGATTACTAAGCACTTCAACTCATTTTATTCCAGAGTACAATTTTAGCCCTAATAACTGGAGGAAATCAAAACAGAACTGTCTTTAAAACATCTGAATGAAAATCTAAGATGTTGATCTTGGAAGTACGTTTGAATAAAGAAAACAGTGGATGCAACCTAAAATTTCATGTGGATTTTTTTCATTACATTTACACCACTTCACAACACAAGAATATCTTCAGTATACTATTTAATTTACACAGACACAGAAACATTAAAAAAATAGTAATTTAAATAGCACCCTTCTGCGTGAAAGCTCCTGTGCTACTGCAAAAAAAATCTTGACTTCTATTCTTGAATCTTTACGACCCTTCCTACAGCAATGGGTAAATGGCCCAAACTACATGTCTCAAAACGCTCTAGGAGAAGAATGAGAGGGTCTGCCCAGGTAGCTGGTACTAGACAGCTACTGGGCTTGACCGTCACACCCACACTGATTGCAGGCTAATACTCCAGAGAAGCCCTGAGCTCACACTCAGTGCAGCTACAGCCTACAAACGCCACTAACAATTAAAGCAAGAGGAGGCCAGTATGGCTCGCATGGCTTTCTACCACAACCCACAAAATTTTTAGCTTTGGTGGGGTCTAATGAGCCAAACGAGGCCATGGCTGTTTGTTCTGTGCCTTTCTAATATGCCCTCATCCCATTTGCTTCACCTGTAGACCAACGGACTGGTGCACCCAGGACAAGTTAGGGGTGGGGTGCACCGAGCCTGGCGGCACTACACCCCACGCTCTCAGCAACGTGGGCAGCTGTGGTGCTAGAGAAGGTACCAACTTCTGCTAAGCTTCCAAAAGAGAGAGCAAGTGTGTACGGCCTCAGACAGTAACCGAGTTTGGTTCAACTACGATGAGTTTTAAGAACTAAGTAGATACCAAACATTTACAGTCAAAGATGAAATTTAGCCAAAAGCAAGCACTAGCCACCAATCTTCGTCTGCAATAATACAACTAAATGTTCGTCTCTCTTAACAGAGCAGTAAAATGCAAACAGCAATTAACACATTACCTTGCTAGCTATCTTAAAATAAACCAATTAAAATGTTTCTGAAAATTAGAACACGGCTAATCAATATTTTAGTGGAAGACATTCAGCACAGATTTTAGCACATGAGATCCAAACATAACTTCCTGAGGAGAAACCATGCCACAAAGCCACCAGCTCTCACTCCTTCCATCCTCAGAAATCCTTTAAAAAAAACAATTAAAACAAACCCTGAATAAAATGGCATAAGAACCACTGAAAGGAAGATACTATATAACTTTCCAGAGCAGACAACGATTTCTTTTGTAGACCAGTCCGCAGTACTTCCCAACCACTCAAATCCAGGAAAGCTTGTGCAGCTCAAATCTCTCCCCAAGAGCACACGCTGCAGTCCTGCAACGTCCACTTTTATTTTGCTTACCAAGTACATGTAGTGAAGGATTTTAAAGAGGAGGGGCAGTTGCTTGCCTTCAGTATTCTGTGAATTTATAACTTGCCTACCTTTATTCTCACCAAGCACACAGATAACTAACTTGTCTTACCAGGTTCCAATATACAGTTAATAGAATGCAGCCAATACAGTTAAACACTTAAAACTGTATAGATTTCCAAAGTCTGAGCCACACTGAACATTAAACTACCCAGGAAAAAACAGAAAATACAAATAATGAATAATATATAGTGTGTATGTATCCTGATAAAGAATTCATAATTGTTTGTGGTGGTGTTAAGTACTTTTCCGGCTTGAACTTCAGTTGACCACATTACTCACAAGCACACAAGTTACACAGATGATGCAATTAAATTCAAAGATATTTCCTCAACACTATTTACAATTCCATCATTTTTAAAGAAAAGTGGTTTTAGGAAAAAATTGCGCTTTTTCCACATACGTATGCTGGTAAAATTAGAGTGCCTTACTAAATGCAGGATCCCATGAGAAATGAATATCACTCAAAAAAAAAAAAAAAAAAAAAGGCAAATTATGGTGATACTTTTAGCAATCAGAACACTTTGGGTTTTCATGCCCAGTGCTCTACAGCTTGCCAAGGGACAGGATATTACAGAAGTAGAGAAGAAAGGTATTCACCACAGGATTATAAAGCACTGGCCTTTAAATAAGCCTCTGCCTAGATAGACACGACCAGAAGTGAAGCACTACAGTGCTTCTACCTGATTCAGACTAGGTGAAGAACAGAAGCAGAAAATTACCTGTGCTGAAAATACTCAAAACAGTTTCACAGCAGTAACAAAAACAAGTGTTCAGAGCTTCAGGGGGATTGCAACACCGCTAGCAACAAATGCCTTGCATTCTTAGCAGAAAACTATTAATGAGAAGTGCAGATTGGGGAGGGGGGGAGAACAGGACATAAAAATTAAATAGTGTAATAACGAGGAGCAACATGTCTGTCATTTCTACATGCAATCGTATAGCCTCTATGTTACATATGGTTTGGATGTAATTTTAGACAGGATTTTCTATGAATTACCAAACCAGCAGTCAAAGTCTAATTCCATTCAAAACATGACTGAAGTTGTGCTACTGACATGTAACATATCCACACTAAGGTAAACCACATTAGACTTGAAACAAGTAAAGCCTACGGTGATCATCCTTTAGACACTAGAAACTACTGCAGCTACTTGACATGGCTTCAGGGGTCACATTCACATTCTGAATTAAGCTCCCAAGAGATATTCTGCATGAGTAACAGCTACACAGAAGTCTTCCAGATGGTGCAATTAGTCTTGATGGGTATATGGCAGGAGACAGGTGCCTCTAGGGGAAAAAGTGAACTAAAAGCAACCCAAGTGAAATTGTGCACACAAAAAAAGATGCATCAAGCTGAGATTCTTTTGGAAAACTTCTGCTGAACACAAGTACATGCATAGGGTACCCAAAAAAAGAAACATTAGCACAATTGCTTGCTCTTAGAGGCTGGGTGTCTCACAAATTACATACTTCATCCTCAGGGAACCGCATACCAAAAAAGGTAGGCAAGTCAAACACTTCTACAATTCAGTTCTGCAAAACATTAAGAAATTGGAGGGGTGGGGAGGAAAAAAAAAACCAACCCAAAACCCAAAGGCAGGCATTTACTCTAGATATTATCCATGTGACAGAATAACCCATTTGAAAACTGGAAGACTCACAGTTTTAAATACAGAACACTGTTCACAAAAAATTCATCTTGCAGCACAGGGGAGAAGCGCCTAGCTCTGACACATGCGCAGTATGACACTGTACAGGCAACAAGAGACTCACACCACCCACTCAAGCAATGACACTGGCTAATAGCTAATGTGCTGCAAATTACACCTCCTACTACCAGAGTCCGTCTGCTGCAGAGAATAAATCAAGCAAACATGAGCATTTTGCTTAATGCTTTGTGTATTTCTCCACATGTGCAGCCATTTCAGCAGACTTTGCAGTTAAAATATTAACCTCCAATAACTGTCAGGTTTAACTCCATCAGTAATTTACACTTTCATTAAAAAAAAAAAATCGACTATTTATTGCAAGCACCATTCCTGTTTTTCAGCAATCTTGTTTAAATACTGCAAAGATTTTAAATTATTTGCATGAGACAAACCCAGCTAATGTTCTTAGCACTTTTTTCATTAAATTAAACTCTGAAATTAAACAATAGAGAGAAAATATGGCAAATACAACAATTACTGTAAGGAAGAGATGGATATGGGGGAAATTTCATGGTACCAAATGGGAGTAAAAAAAAAAGCGCAGGCAACTGTGAAGTCAACTGACTCTGCAAGTGGGTGTAGCAGAAGAGAGCATACTTATGAGTAGTAATGCTAGTTCAAATTTAGCCACTAAGAATACAGAACAAATTTCCCATCAAAACAGACATGATAAGGTATTTTGGAAGGGTCAAAAAGGGGTTGTTAAATGTTTAGCCAAATGTTTTTAGTATTTCCCAAATGTTCTGTTCATGACCAAAGCAAAAGAGAGCTGCAGGATTTGTAGCCCTTTCACCAATTACCCCAGCAGGCCAGCGGGAGCCCCTCCACCGTCGCACGGGTGTGCGCTCTAGCCACTGGCCTGCTGCTAGGGGATGAAGTGAACAGCTCGCTGTCCTCCTCATCTCCACCAGCAATTTTGCTCTTCCTTTCCATGCATTTTATTGAAGGTGTCCCACTGACAAGATCAATCATTTTGTTTGAGGTCGCACACGAGCTCTGTTTAGCTACAAGGGGAAGGAAAACAGGGAGAGAGACGGGGTGGTGATCAGCCATTCCTCTACCTTCCCACCTCAGACATCAAACAAAAGGAGGAAAAAAAAAAAAAAAAAAAAATCACCTGTTCACACAGCTCTAATAAAAAGCAGCTGGGAAAGTCTGTAACACAACCAAAATCGATTATGCCGATGAAGAAGATTTATAAGCCTAGGATAATGTCATTGAAAACACAGGCTAGTTTTAGGCTGAAATACAAAATATTATGAAAAAGAAACCCCTCTATTCAAACTGACAGTCCAGGATGTGACAATATAAACACAGTTTTAAATCTGTAACGTCTTGGGAAAGTAACATCTATTTTGCTCAATACAGAAGAGCTATCAGGATGCGCTCATGGTTACAGGTGCAGGTAAAAAACCCCACACTTTTTCAAAATTAATTATAACTGACAATTCTATATTTAGTCCTAGAGGTAAGGCATGGAGCTATGCAGCAAGACTGTCGGCTTCCTTATTAGAAATGCAAGAGTTCTACCAGCCTCAGGGCTTTTATCCAATTTGCTTTATTAATGACTTGTCAGAAGTAAATAAGAGAAAACTCGCTGACATACTCATTTTTTTAAACGGATGTTGAACCGCTGTATTATAGATGCGCTTATCTGAAGGGATTCACTACATGACCATATGATCACACTCAAACATGCATACATTTAAATACTCAGAGCATTTATTTTTATATATTTGGGGTATGCTAACAGCAGTCTATAGCAACTTATTTTCACCTGCTACTCAAGTTTCAAGTATATAAATTAAATACCCTTCCACACAACGTATCTTCAAAACACATTAAAAAACCCTGGTCCATTCCAACATCCACGGCCAGACCTGTAGAGGGGGATCAGCCTTGTCACGATGCGTGTTTTGAACGCAATTCAGCAGAGGGGAGAAGACAAACTCACTTCACATGGCGAGAACAGAATTTAAAAATGGGATTCAAATTAAATATCCATCTGACAGGAAGTGACAGAAGGAGGGATGCTCTGAAACTCACGAGCCACCTCAACTTAAAAGCCCACTGGAGGCTGCAGATGAGAACACGTGTGTTTCAGAAACTTATTCCTGGGCTTGGGCAACTAAACATCTCTTTGGACATGGAAAGTAAGTTTTTGGGGTTCGGGGGAATTTCTTTACCTGAAAAACAGGGTTGTGATGGTGATGGGGCTCATTACCATTATGTAACGGTCTAGTAATTAAAGGGTTTACCCAGTAAGAGCAAACCTGTGTAATGGGTCAGGCCGGGCTTGGGGGAATTGATGTTCCCGTCCCACGTTGTGGGAAGGTGCTCTTATGGCAGTTACAAGGGAGGGCCTTCTAACAGCACTCCTGCTCTCCCTGCCTCTGAGCACATGAAGGGTCTCAACCCATTAGCTTTGTGAAGCCAGTCACAAAGAAACACAACATTTCACAGACAAAAACCAAAAAGGACTCTGGTGTGAAGAAGACAGAGGCCTGTCTCTGCACTGGGTCTTCATCCAAAGCCAAAAAAAAAAAGGCAATTTAGATGTAGAGTGGCCTTCACTTATGATACAAAGCAACTTTTTAATAACTCTGACCACACACGGTGTGACGCTCGGATAGTTAAGACTAAGCCAAGATGGTAACTTGCTCATGTGCAAAAGAAGAATGGTTGTGGTCCAGTGAGAAAGTACCTGCCTGAAAGTTACAGGCTCACAGTTGCACCTCTATAGGCATAGTCGCTGAAATAACTTACACAGACAATGTTGTATCTATGCTTTCATTTGGCTAGTCTCAGTCTTAAGAATACTTCATGAATCGCAACCAAGGCCTTCAGTGAAAAACAGGCCTGAAAACGCTCAGTTCCACAAAAGCTGCAGCATTTTTCAGGATGCAAAGAACTTTATTGATTTGGGTAACTTTTTTTGCATTTATGAAGTCTCAGACATCTACTCACCTGGACAGAGTGACTAAAGATCACTCAGCATACATTGAAAATACAGCTTGTATGAAATTTAGGAATTCAAGTGTCCCAGAAATCCACATAAGGTGTATCTTAAAAATATTAAATATATTCTTCACAAACTGAACAGCAACATAACAAAGAATATCTTAGTTGCTTTATCTTGGAAGAAGGTTGCAGGAGCATACCTTCTAGAACAGGAAGCTTCTGGAGGAGAGCTCCTAAGGTCCTTTCCAACCTGAGTGACTCCAGGAGAGTAGAAAATAGCTGCTCAGCTTTCACAGGATTTTGCTTACAAGGAGAAACATTTCTTAAGTAAAGGTGAAAAATTCCATGCAAAGTTTCATCATTCCATTGCTTATTAAATGTGATCTTCACAGGGACTGGGAGTTAGAAAACTATGCTTAGAACGGCAGGAGATGCACAGAACTTGGGGTCAACTACATTATTTCCAGAACTAATTTATAACAAGAGAAAGTCTTAAGACATAACTTTTTGAAGGATTTCTAGGAAAAGTCAGAGCACCCTTCAAGATCAGAAGAGAGACTGATCTCTTTCTGGAGTTGCTACATGTACCTCTTTCTCAGGCTTTAGTATATATGCCACATATTGTAGTACTTTCAAGAAGAAAATTCCAACAACCTTTTAAACACAGCAATGATCACAAAAGATGGACCCTTCTAGGAAACTATGTAAGTCAGGAGGTTAAATAAAGTTGTGGAGATTCAAATGGGCAAGATCCCACAAAAATCAAGTCTTATCATAAAGATGAAGTTTAAGAAACTAAACAGGTGCAGGCAGGTGCAAAGCAAATACTGATACTTAGCCTTGGTTACTTGCAGTTCATTGTAATTGAGCATTTACAGCTCCTAGAAACCAACACAGCCTTCGAATTCTTGAAAGAAAAAAACCAAAGTTTTTTCTGGAGCCTGTAGAACCCCATTTAGACACTCGTATCAGTCTACCATCCACTGCTACTAGGTTTACTGGGTTTCCCAAAGGCAGAGATTATTTGAATTATTGCCATGAAGATCAGCTACATACTTGCACATTATTTATAGGTTTTCTTTAGGTACTTACTTCCTTTAGGATAGTCTATCCCCTAGGATCAATAGGAGGAATTAAAAAAAAAAAACCAACAAACAAAAACATTCTAAACTCCCATTTTTCTGCAAAACTTATGACCAGCTGAGGAAGAAGAGGAAAAAGTTTTCCTTGGCAAGAAGAAGGGAACCACCAACTTTTTCACCTGAATGAAGATGCACAGCAACAGTTTGAAACTAAAGTTTCAAAAGAGCTGGTTTTCAGTTGCACGGTCATTGAAGATCTGAAAACAGCCTACTATGGACACGGAAAAAACCCACTATAAAAACAAAGCGCAGCTATAATCAGACATTCATCTCAAAGATATTGATTATTCAGAAAAAAGTTTTGTTTTTTTTTAAAAATAATTCTACCCTCCACCCATCAGATCTTATGAGTGGTAGGGGCAGGGCAAAAAGGACTACCTTAAGGACAACACTAAAGACACCACATAGAAAACAAACCACGAAAATGTATTTTTAAACCAACTGCCAGTCTCTGCTGTTTTTCCTGGTCAGTGTTTGACTTGATCTTGGAATGTGATGTGGATAGCAGGCAAGCTAATACCAAAAAATGCAGTTAGTGTCTGAGTGCAATTACTCTGACCAGCAGTAGCTTGCAGGTCTGGCACCCTTATTTTTCTAACCACAAATACTTAGACAGAAGCCTAATTTTTGTGTGTCTGATCTCTCCATCAATATTTACTTTATTTAAACTTTGTGGGAGGTCTAAGCACCCCACTGTCGACCAATATCAACAGGTCTACTCAAGCACAAGACTACCTTTTTGAAAACAGGCTCTCTCTGACGCAGGAATATTCTGCTAAGTGAAAGCAATACAAATATTTCTGAAGAGTTCTGTGAATGACAGAAATATGATTAGCTTCACAAGGCTAATGAATTCAGACACCTCTGGAGGTCCAGTGTCACTTCAGCAATATTGTAATTGTAAAGCCTGTCATAAAAATGTATTTTGCATTAAATAAACTCTACTAGGGAAATGCAACAATGAAATAGGTCAACTTCTGGCCATTAGCTCACACTGAAAACGCCCACAGCATGTTTTACAAATGGATGAAATATAAAAAGGCAAAAATGTTAGGATATGTATTGTCATAACAGAATGATCTAAAAAGTTCTTTTAACCTTCTGTACTGAACAATATTTCTAAATAACAACTTAACTGATCTTCAGCATTACTCAGATTAATTTATTACAAATATTTATTACTTAAAAACACTGAAGGCTCTTTACTAGTAGTGAAAAGGAGGTTCCAAGTTCTGTGCTTCAATGGATTGTTTTCACTTAAGGTAAGTAGCTTAAGCCAAATACACACTAAGAGTCCTGTAAATACAAATCTTCCTTTTAAATAGAAAGAAAGAGAAATTGGTTTAAGTGGTTGAAAATCAACCAGCGCCATTAGTCCAAATGCAGCACCTCTTCTAAAGACTCTACAGATTTGTCACTACCTACTGAAGTTAAGTGGTCATACACAGCAGAAGCCTTTCATAAACTGGTGAGGAAAAAAAAAACACCTTAAAACACAGTAGAGAATTAAGACAGAATGCAAGGCAGCAATATGTACATACAGTCACAAATGGGAAGAAATATAAATATTTCCAGACACTATGACAAATGTATATACTTCTAAATACTATACACTGAGGGCTTTTCAAGGGTTTATTTCAAGTAAAAAATCAATTTTAAGCCAATAGTGGAGAACACAGACAAACCTAGACCATAACTCTTACCAGTATAATCTTCATTTTGCTGTTTTTCTCTAAATTACTGATTCTAGAGAGTCTCTTCTCCGTGAGACCCAGGTGCCTGACACTGATAATTAAGATGAATCTGGGTTTTTACGCAGGTAAGAAGTATTTTCAATGTGACCTCCACCCAAGTTGCATAGTTTTCACT